CAGGAGAAAGAAAGTAAAGAAAAGCAAAAATAAGTATCGGGATATATCGCAATATATATAAAAGTAGTTCCTTAGAAGAGAAAAGAAAAAGCAAAAAAGGAAAAAAAAAATCCCACATCCAATAGAATTGCTCCGCTTCTCACAGCAATGTGAAAAGAGCAGCACTGGTCGCTACCATAGTAGTGATGACAGCTGGAGAGAGGGCGGAACCCGCGCTATCCAACAACGTGACGGGCTCATACTCGGCAGGGTTGGTTGAGTTCGTAGTGCCATCCCAGCAGTACTTCTGGAAGCACTGAGTGCAGGCATCCGGAACCTGGGTGTTCGTGCGTTCGAAAGACCGACTCAGAATGGCACAAGCGACGCAGGTCGTCCAGTTACCATCACGGGTGCTGTTACCCATGGTCACCACATCGTATCCGTTGGCAATAGTGTCGTCTCTTTCGGAGATTTCATAGCTTGGCTGGAAGGTCGACCAGTTCGAGTAAGACACATACGGATAGTTGGGGAGGTAGACAACTAAAGGCGTAGGGCCTGTGGTGTTCGTGCTGTTGCATCCGAAGAATGTGGGCCGCGTATTCAAGCCGTTGTTGACAAAAGTATTCTGGTCAGGGATCGCGGGGAACGAGGTTCCGTTGGCGATACCAGTGGAGTTCAGGCTGCGCTCGTAAGTGGCAACGAGAGCCGTGCCGTTGGGCCAAGAATAAGTAGTGTCAGCGGAGGAGTCAACAGCAAAAATAACATCGACGTGACGCTCTGGCTGAATCAAAGGATGCAGAGGAATGTTCTGAAGATCCTCGCCACCGTCCACCATGTCCAGTTCCTCTTGATGGGCTGCTGGGGAGGTCTCGGGAGACCAATTGTAGAATGGATTGGGAGCATAGACAGCAATATCCTCATCATCTTCACCAATCTTTGCCAAGATGTCCGAGAATGCCGTCTTCAGGAAATCGGGAAGGGAAGTTGAATTAACCTGCAGAAAGAACTGGTTGAACAAACTTGACGAAGTACCCATTACAAAGCCGGCATTGTCAAATCCGCGTACACAGGTCTCATTCTTGGCGATAGAACCACCGTCGAATTTGGAGCCCAGGTACTCCAGCGGCGCAAACCCGTAAACCGTTGGATCAAAAGTACCAAACTCCCAAGGGTTAAACTCATAGACAGTAGCATTGCTGCTGACCACGAGCTCATCGGGATACCGACCGTCAGCAACAAGGAGAGGCATCGGCATCTCTGCCTGCTTAAAAGTATCGGTTAGGGCAATGGACGACCAAGTATAGCTCGGACCACCATCGGTAGCATTGATTAATTGATAAGAGAGAGCGCGACCCCTAACCATTGCCTGTTAGAGCTGCTTGCATCCACGAGGTAATAATCCATGACGTACCAATAATCAGTGATAGAGGTTTCGTATCCCGCATCCTTCTTGTCTTGCACCGTATCGTAAACGTGCTTGTAGTAAGTCGCAGAGTCCAGAATCTGAATGCTATCGCCGTCAGGGCCTTCGAAGATCGAGTTTTGAAACTGCCAGACAGCTCCTTTCTCATGGGTCTGTAATGCCGAAATAGTGGTGAAATTGTTGACATAGATCGACCCCACCAGCCATCCACCACCACTCAGACCAGCCAGATATGTCGCCGACTGTAGCAAGCCACCCAGCTGTCCCGTCGCCGTGGAGTTTTCTGTTCGGCTATCAAACGCCTTGATCGCGCCGGCACCGTTCATCAGGGCGCGATAACCTCCTCCGGACACCGCAATACCAATATTGGGAAGATTGGACGTGTTACTCGAGTGGCGGTCGAGATATTGGACAGCATCAAAGTCTTTAATCGTGACATGGTTGAAGAAATCCTTCATGGCAGACTGAGTCTTCTCCCGTCTGGTTTTCAACCACGACGTCTCATTCTGCGATAGCCCGGATGATGCGCTCCGCACCGTCGGGCGATTCGCCGGACAACTGACGTTGGTCGGTACATATCCATCGGGGGCATTTGGCAATGCACGTTCCAACACAGTTCTATCAATCCTCTCGATCCTCTCTCCATGAGGGCCTGGGGCCGCTGTCACGCCTACGGACCATCAACGATGTCAGAATAGGCTAAAGGCGCGACGATCGTAGTAAACCGGGAACCACGACCAGAGTGATTAATAAACTTACCAGACAGCAACCCGGCTAAAGCAATTGCAGCTGTTGTGGGTTTCATACTGATGTGAAGCGGTCGCACACAGTTCTACGTGAGAGCGACACTTTTTTGTCGAGCAAAGCAATGTCGAAGGAGTTGCTCGGAGACTTGGCCAAATTTTGAGGGACGCAGTGGTCACTCCTTTCTTTTACTAGGGGTGTTCTTGGGATCGGGGACTCGGAAGCTTGGCCAAGCACACCAGGGACTTGGTGCGATCGCAACTAGTGTTTTGAGTGTTCTGACTGGAAGACTATGAATTTGATTTGATCAGTTAGGGGCTGGGGGCGCCCGAACCGAGGAATGGACTTTCATCAGGTTCGATCCATGATGTCAAAGGATGGCCTAAGTCCGGCCCTTCCGCAATGGTGGCTGACTGGCATGGGCGATCAAGAACTATTATTGATCAATGGACTTTTCTTCTGAGTAGCGTGACTATCAATCTGGTTTCGAGAAAGATTCTCATCAGCTTTTGCAATTGCTTCACCGTTACTGATCGGCTTCCTTCTGAGCATAATTTTCCGTGCCAAAATAAAAAATTAAATCAAATAAATAAAAATAAAGACAATAAAACCATTAAAAAATTATTAAGTATAAAGGACATAAAAATAGACAGTGTGCTCATGTCAGGCACAAATTATACAGGCATAACTAACTGCATGAAGAAGTTCCCAATACGAGTGCGAGAGCCGAGTGGGTCAGTCGGAAATGAAGGGAAAAAGTCGAGTCCAAGTGGAATGTCAGGCATCCAAGATTCGCATCCGCAGTCTCTGATAGGCCACCTTCGAATCAATAGACCAAACCCATGGATGCAGGCTGTGGCTATGCTCCTCTTCCGATGAAAACTTTTTTTTTTTTTTTTTTTCCTGAATGAAAATTCTTATGCATCTAAACGTACTAGTAGGCAGCAAGATAAATTGGGTACATTCCGCTTATTAAGGCGTGCCTCCATTTCCTCGGAAAAGGAAGTCATTTTTCATGTGAGGAGCTGAAGGACAAAAAGATTTCAAGTTGACATCCAATGCTTGGCAAAAGCTTGACAACCTGCGGTGTAACTTTTGAAGTTCAGCACTCATGGAAACGATTGGTTAGATATCACAATCATACTATACTATGAAACTGCCTCTTTGTAGAGTTCATTGGTCCCGCAATAAATGTAGATAGCTTGCCAAGGTCTGGTTACAATCCATCCGTTGGATTCATAAAGATAAGACCACCAAAGTTCGACCTAATTCTATTAGATCGTGAAGGTCTTTCCTATACTTTTCTTCCGATCTTCTTCCTTTATGCATAACTACCTTCCTAGGAAGCATAACTGGTACAATTTCCATAACGACAACAAAAGAGTACAGTTAACGCGGATACACAAGAGTTGGAGAGAACCATGGTATCTAACCGATACCCTACCTGAGAAAGTTATCTTGGTCTCGAATGGTTAGCTTAGTGACATCTTTGGCTTCGTCGAAGATTTATTTATTGTTGAAAGAGGAAATCATCATAAGTGCTCTCATCATTGACATACCGGCATAGGCTGTTGTCACCACCGTCGTAAGATACTGTAGCTTGTGTCTAATGTTAGCCTGGTCCAGACAATTATGTAGACCGTTGCATTCAAAGGCTCGGAGGGGATAAAACAACAACCTCGAGACCTGTGCCTCTGAGGGTAGTTTTCCATTCTGATTTGAACTGTAGTATGTCCTCCATTCCTCAATTTTTCAACGAGTGCCCTGAGCTTCATATCCCAATGAGGGATTTAGGAGAGATAGATACAAGTACAATAAGGGTAAAATTGAAGGGATATGAAGGGTGCCTCCAGGCAGGAGCGACCCTTTCATAAGTTCAGGCCCCAGGAGTCCATGAATACAGCCTCGCTGCGCGCAGAAGGTTCACCAGAACCAATCATTGCTTACAATTATATATAAGCCAGACTGATGGCTCGTTCGATTTCCGGAGGAGGGGATATGTATTGTCTCGGCAGAAAAACATAATAAACAAGGCCAACCCACCTAATAAATAAGATAAACCGATCTCTTACTCTTTCCACAATTTATATTCCACGTCAACTACGCTATGACTACTCAATATGAACTTCCCGGAGAAATATAAGCCTATCACCCACTTCGTATCCAAAGGAATACAACTGCGCTCTCTAGCTGGTCAACAGTTAACATTATGACAGCGAAAATGAGTACCAGTTCCCACGCTCATTCCATCATGCTTCTTCCGGCATCGACTGGATTACTGTGGACATCTGGGATCGACTTGACCACCGATTCCCACATATCAGATGCACTTTGATCAGCAATGAATATGTTGACGACAAATTACTGAGCAGCGAGTTACTTTTGATTACCAGGTTCATGTAGCAACGGCGGATCAGGCCAATGACTCTCGGTCATGATATCCTTCCGGTGAGTCGCCTCTCTGTTGTTGCTTCTCTGGCCAGCCAATTAACATCTACAGATCCTGGTGTTTTCTGTGATAAGCCCTCAACATGTCAGGATCCTATAGGCTCATTTTGATGGCTCTGCCCTAATCATATTAAAGAGCAAACCATTCGACTTCAGAAACCGGGATGATGAAGCGATGGATTCATTAGGACAGTGGTATTGCAGTGATCTGGTTGAAAAGACACTGTGGGCCGAGCCTGTTCAAACTGGAACTGTACGATCTACTACATCGGGGTTCAGGCACGTACGAGCACCTTTCTAGGTGGTTTTCAACGAGATTTCGGAGTAATGAGGACAATGGGCACTCATGGCGTCATTTTGGATTTGCAAATGGTTTGGGGTTGGCTTGGTATCACTGAGGTATCGGCGCAGAGATTGGTCCTGGAAGCTTTCGAATATATGCCGCTTATTATTACTCCTTAATTTGATCCCCGTACTATATGTCATGGTATGCATATTGCGTTGACAAAGTCCAGACCTTGATCAAAACTATACTGCACCTTCTCAACTACACTAACCTCAATAGAACATCAAAGATCCAATGTAAGCTCTGAAGTTCTGAAAATACGCACTTGGAATAAGTTAGATGTGAATATGGTATTATCCCATGACAAGTCATTCACCTTAGCCTGCATGATGGTAGTTCTTCTGCCCGTTCTCGTCAAGGTCCATCAGCAGCCCTTGATACCTCTATTCGATAAAAGATAGTCATCTTCACAACTGCTGATACATAATATCTGTCCGCAGAGTATACTTCGTCCCCCGAAACACCGAATCTCCACCATGGAGCAAATCATTCTGTTGGAACACAAGCACCGAACCCGTCTTAGGAAAAACCCTCAACTGCCTCTCCTTCTCCTCATACCTCGGAAGAAAAGACGTAGCACCACCAAGCAACTTGCCCCCAACATCCAAGTTAACATCCCCTTTCTCCTCCACCCTGATCTGCTCGCGCATCAGCTCCTTAAGATCCTGCTCCCCATCCCCATTCAGATACAAATGAACGGTATAATACGACTTCTCCTTCCGGTCAGGGGTGGTATAGAACGCATCCCAGTGCGGCTTGAAGTACTCCCCGCCTTCATACTTGAGGAACCGGAGTCGTTCATTCAGTCTCGTCAACCCGTAGGTCTTATTCCGACCCGCGAGCCCGGTAACAAGGGGCCGGTTCTCTAGTCGATCGATCTCAAGCTCCTTGAGAAAGGGCATTAATCGATTTAGTAGCTTGTCGGCTAACTCGGGTGAATCCCAGATAATACGGCCACAATTACGGGTGTCTGTTGCGAGTCTTTGTCGCCCGCCACCGACGTTGATCATGGCGCGCTCCCAGACCGGTGTTGTGGACTGGGGAGTTAGAGTTGAGGCTTCCGCGAGACGGATTAGTTCGTCGCATTCTTCTTCTGTGAGTATATTGTCGATTACTACTGCGAAGCGGTTCTTAAATTCGGGTAGTGGTGGGTCGGAGGTTGCGAAGTCGATTTTTTTGCATTTGGCTCCCGGAGGTGCTTTCCAGGGAAGAAAGTTGGGATTTAGCTGGGGGTCCATGGTTGAAACTATGTGATATGTGATATGATGTGGTATTTGGGATATGTTATGAGGTTGGGTGTGCCGGGCTAGATGCTGTATTTAAAGTGCCTTGGGGGCTGATGCCTAGTGTTATTGTCTGCCTTACGGCTTACCTAGGAGGCTGAGTCACAACATCGATCTTGCCATGTCATCAGGGGCATAACGGATGTCATTGTATCATCATGTTTTCTAGTGTTTTGCATGGTTGGGCGTTTCCCGGAATTCTTCAAACTACATAATGAGTCATTCTATATGACCATCATCCAAGCGATGAGTCCAGCTCATTCTTAAATGCGCAAGGGCTTTCTATGAACTTCAGGATATTAGTACCTTGAGTCAATTAGCCTTATCGATTATGGTAAGATAAACTACCAGCCGCAAAAGTCCGACGAAGACATAGAAAATGTCAAGACAAAGGTGCGTTATACAGTGCAAGTCTCTGACATGCTACCGAGGAAGTCATCTACATCATACCCAAAGTTTAATGCCTCTTGACGCTAATAGTTTGCTTCAAGTGTTAATATCTGTGACTACTGTTTCCATGTTATCGCATTGCAGTTGTCAGCCATCTTGATGAGATGATGACTGTATCTCAAGCTGGGCACGGCAGTTCCATATCAACCAGTGCTTAAGAAATGTAAGTAGGCATATGGATTGACATGGGAGTTCTAATATGTTTTCTCAATGGGAGCAGTCATCAGCATCGTACGACTTGACAAGTTATGAGGGTTCAACCCCGGGCCTCGAGACAAGGTCAATGGAGCCTAACAGGGCCGGGCCCCGACGGTTTTCGAAGCTCACGTAAGCGCTGCGCTTAATTCCATTAGTTATATCATGGAATACCCCGTATCATACGTGGGGTTCCTGACGATCGGAGCTCCCCCGGGGACAGAAACTTGATGCTAATCGTGGAGACTTCTAGAAAGCAGGGTACGCGTCATATTCTGAACGAACCGTATCTGAGGTCTGAGCGGAAAGCGGGGTAGACACTTGATTATTAGGAAGCTTGGGGTCAAAGTGGAGTGTATTGGAAGATGCGTTCTCTGCATCTCTGATTCTCCGGTCTGGGCGGACTAAGATCGAGTGTTAGACAGCTCCGTCGGGCCATCGTAGTATGGCCGCACTGAAGATGTAGTATGATGGGAGCCACGTCAACGAATGGTAGATAAATGGGGATACTTTTGTTCGGTGGTAGATTGATCTGTGTTGTACGAGGCAGTATTGGGATTTACCGTACTTTAGAGGCATCTTCAGTCTGACCGCGTGGGTGTATAACTAATTGTTTGACGGTGGGATTCGAAGCAAGAGGGAAGTGGGCCAAATCTCTGCTGGTCACACGGGCACTGTGGGCTTATTGCAGTTAGGCTCAAAAATCGAGACCATTTAATTCTCTGTCCGGGGAATCAGGGATGGCCGAAGCACAGACCACATCTGGTGAGATTCTGGAACCTGGGGATCATATATTGACTGTAGGGATGTCAACGTGATTCGCCGTGTGGAATTCTATATTGTCTTTAAGGGATCGGTCCGACAGGATCGGATTACCCGGATCACTTGGAGTGGTATATGCTTGGCTCAGAAGTTGGAAGGCAGTCTCTGTACTGCCACGAAGGGCATGGTACCATGTGTTTCCTAGATATCGACCTTGGAACAAAAGCGTACGCATAAGTTTACAGCGAATGCTAAGACTATGGGGTAAATCCTGGAGCTATCGTTTATTCGATTAAAGTTTAGCTGGCTGTTCTGAAGATAAGAGAATTCTAAGATGGCTGATCCCGAGCGAAATACAGAAGCGTCAACTAGTTAATGGGATATGGTCCTTCAGGTCCGATTGTGCACCGCAGCCATTATTGGACAATTCCATATAAAATAAACCCCAATTGTCAAATAATCTGCTAGAATTTCTATCAATAGTATAAAGTATAAGATGCTCACGGGGACAGGCACAGACGATTCTAAGGGTCTAGTTTTGGTTCTGGGTCTCTGGGAGGGAGTCCAATCGAACCAAAACACTGGGGCCGTCATTTGCAACGCAATTCCCCGGAAGTTCCCAAAAGGGCAAGTAGCTTACCACTAAGGAACAATTCACCAAGACCGAGAATTGTGTTCCATCGTCTCCGGGAGGGGAGCCTTAGCGATGCGCCACACTGTTATTTTCAAAAATTTGATGGTCACACGGTACCTTCCCGGATCCATCTCGGTTGGCCGGACTGATAAATCAGTCTCCGTTTATCATCATTGCTCATAACAATATTCCTGTGTTTTAGGTTAACTATATTTCGGTTACTGAATGTCACTGTCATATGATATGGCCTAAATATAGACCCCCTTTCGATCTAGTATGTGTTGGGTTCACAGTCCCCAATACCGCCAATCACTTTTCTGACGAACGATCGGGTCTACTGGATATATACTAGTAGCGTAAACGGAAAACTGCATAGAATCTCAATTGCAATAGATAGAACCTCAAAATGTAAAAATTGACCAAATCAAACTGGGCCGGGAACATCGAAGAAATTGCGAATTGGCCAATGAGAGTGGAGCTCGTGACATGGCTGAACATATCCTGTACTAGTACTGCACCAAGACCAGGGACTTGATTTAGTAGAGAGATCCTGTACGTCGCCAATTCGAAGAAGATTTCAACCCAGTAAAAGTTGTGATTGGTACTGGAAATCCCAATGGACCTCAGGAACTCTAGGGATCACTCGGGATATCATGGACTGAAGTGAAATTGGCTAGAGCCATCTTCTGCATACGGCAGTCTGCGTGTTTGATGAATACCGGTAAGAGATCAAAACCCTACTGTGTCTACTCGATCGGCGGCTTGACGGTAAGATTGGCAATGGAAACCAGGGTGATCTTCAAGATGCCCCGTGACCACATCCCCAAGTGCGCGGGTTTTGGTTGAACGAATGTTCCAGAGAGCGAAACGGTGGTTTTTCCAGAACAAATGTAAATGGCCCCGTGACCTGTCCCTACTCCCTACAGCTGCTCCCCCAGTGTTCTCGACCGCCCACTTACCGACTCCTTGGGGACTGCCCACCTTCAGTCCCGCCTTAAGCTTCTTCCGTCCGCCGAGCCGGGTTTGCCCCAGCCCGGGTTGCCCAAACAAGGAAACCGAGTACGCCACTGACAGTCGCAAACTTCCACAGCCATGATACGTACCATGTGGTATCTTGTACTTGAATTTTATTTTATTTATTTTTTCAGTGGTACTATGGTATTCTCGGCGCAAGATAGCGTGGTTGTGATAAGTGATCCTCGGAGGGCACCTGGATAACTATGATATCAAACTGTAGTCATCAACCCGTCATGCTCGCGAGAACATCTACGAACATCTACGTTAACGAAGTTGACCTTGATTTGCCCTGGGCAAGGCCTAATTCGAGTTACGTATCTAAACTCATCACTAGGTAGCATGCTGGTGGTTTTGCCTGGGACATATGACAATCGTAGTTCGTGTTTTGTGTTGAAGGTATAGTCCCCGTCCAGGGTATCAATACCTCCATGCAGGATTAAGGTATGAGTATCAATTTCATAGAAGAAACGTGGTGATCAACATTCCCCTTTCTTGCCACGAAGAAAGCCCAAGTGACCACTGATGGTGGGCCCAAGGTCTTCATCGTCCATGCATTCCCCCGGGTCTGGACCGAACCCACTATGGCTCCCTCGCAGCCTTCCTATTTTGGGTACCTTACCAACTTTTTGTCTGCTCACATGAGGCCTCCATGACTATCCCGGACCCAAAGTCATTCTTTCTCCCAGCAGTCTCCAAAGGCTATGGTGAAGTATATAAGTATGACATTCCTCGGCGGGTTGAAGTGACTGGTTAGACATCATCAATTGAATCTCTCCTACTCACTGCGCTTTAGTTCCCTACCGGCCTTAAGTGAAAACAGACTCTTTGACAATCATCCACCAATTCTCACTACCTGAGCTTTTACGCTTACTTTCAATTGATCCTACCTTTCTCGTCAGATACTTTTTTCCCTTAATACGTATCATCAAACAGCATAATGTCCGTCTCCATTGAAATCAACGACATTGTCCCCGCCGCTCTTACCACACAGGCGCCCCCCTGCCTTGGCTCTAAGAGCAGAATGCCCGAGTTCAGTTTGGCTGGAAAGGTCGTCTGTGTCTCTGGTGCTGCCCGTGGCCTTGGTCTAACTCAGGCTGAAGCGCTTTTGGAGGCCGGGGCCAAGGTATATGCTTTGGACCGCCTGGAGGAACCTGTAAGCGATCTTTTTTTCTCAGGGTTTACTCATCAATACATTGACATACAGTCTAATTCGTTATTTGAATAGTCCCCTGAGTTCTACGAAATCCAAAAACGTGCCAAGGAGGAGTTAGGAACGGAGCTACAATACCGTCGCATTGATGTCCGTGACACCGAACGTCTCGAAAGTACTATCGAAGCCATCGCTGATGCCGAGGGTCGCTTGGATGGCTTGGTCGCTGCGGCAGGCATTCAACAGGAAACTCCCGCCCTCGAGTACACGGCCCAGGACGCCAACACGATGTTTGAAGTCAATGTCACTGGTGTGTTCATGACTTCCAAGGCAGTTGCTAAGCAAATGATTCGTTTCGGCAATGGAGGTAGCATCGCACTAATTGCGAGCATGAGTGGTACTATTGCCAATCGGGTACGTTCTCGTCTTGCCTTTATTTTGCTTCAATCCAAACTTCCCCACCTTTCTGTGTCTTTTGCAAGTCTCAGGTTTCACGAAACTCAACCCGCTCACGCCACTCCGGCCTTCTGTTCACGTCATTGGTTGCTATCCTACATGGAAGTTACTGACTGGTCTGCCTCTTTAGGGTCTTATTTGCCCTGCTTACAACGCTAGCAAGGCTGCAGTGCTTCAACTTGCCCGTAACCTCGCCATGGAGTGGGGTACGTACAACATTCGAGTCAACACCATCTCGCCCGGTTATATTGTAACAGCCATGGTTGAGAAGCTCTTCGCCCAGTTCCCTGAGCGTCGCGAAGAATGGCCCAAACACAACATGCTGGGACGTCTGTCTACCCCTAACGAGTACCGTGGCGCTGCCGTCTTCCTTCTCAGTGACGCCAGCAGCTTCATGACTGGAAGCGATCTACGCATGGACGGAGGTCACGCCGCTTGGTAGATGACATTTGAATGGCTCTTTCCTTTTCCTTTGCATATTCTATTTTTCATATTATCATTTCTACTGCATGGCGTCGGGAAGGCAAGCGTGATCGGATTTGAAATTGATGATCTTATCATGATTCTTGTGTTTGGGCATGCTTGGGGGCTGATAGGATGAGGTTCGGTTGATATCTCAGCGTTGCAATTGCTGGATCGGGTCTTAGTCGATTAACTAGAGCGAAATTGTACCTATACATAATGCATGAGACTTAATTTGGAACAAGTGAATGGTCCGCCTGAGCGTAGCGAAAGTATGATTGACGATGAACGTTGCGGAGGGTCTCGACTGACAACTAACGAGTAACGTTAAGTAAGTTTGCATGAATCATCTTCCACTTAGTGCCAGATCGGACCATAGATTGATGCGCGCGTTCGCACATGACCCACTGGGCAATTCTGAACTAAAGCACCACTTGCGCGGCGTTATTCGAACTTCTACGAATGAAGTGTCCAGAAGACAGGGATTTTGCTTCCGAATTCCCGGCAAACGAGTACAACTTCGATTACCATTCATTGAAACCAAACCCCCGCCAAGAAATTGTCCATCCGGGGGAATCCCCACTTTTCAAAGTCAAACTTTCCCCCCCACATTCATCCCGGACCACAAGAACCATGCTCAATCGTGGTTGTATCCATGGTTGTCCATATCATGACATCAAGACCCCTGCTCTCTGGACCCAAGCTAAACCGCTAGATACAGTCATATCAATCACGTTGTTTTGAGGCATGGATTACTCTCTCCTTTTGCCGCTCAACTGGAGCCAACGGTCCACATACGGGCCATGTCTGTACCAGTCCAATTATCGTCAATTGTTGAGGATGCATGATGTCTTGATGACCACTACTCCGATCGAAAATAAAAAGAATATGGGGGGAAAATCCCGGGATTACCAGAACCGACGTACTGGATTGATCATATTCAAGGGATTGCCGTTTGAGGCCGTCTATAGAGCGTATTAGGATTTGGAATCTGGGGTAATACTAATCACGGGGGCGGTTGGTATACTTAGCCTGTACGCGGTACCTACATCTTCCTGTATGTCCATTTCATAGGCTATAGCCCGACCAAAGGGGAACCAACACATGACTGGAAGCGAGAGATAGGGCTCCAATTTTGATGCCTAATTCTCGACTTTTATGTAAGGGATGCATGCTCACTGTAGTTTCGCCTCTTTTAGTGGTTGCTGACTGCCTTAGGCGATCTATGGCGATGTCACGTTGGTGGTCGTGGTAAGGCTCACATAATGTGCACGTGGATCGCCTTGTTTCGACTCGACCCGTAAGTTGACTGGCTCTCGGTTGTTATCGGACTATCTCTACTAAACTTCAATTTTAGTTTATTAAACCCTATATAGCATGATGTGATCTCATAGGGGTTGTCTAACTGTTCGGATCTAAAATCGACGCCGAAGTATTCCCGTGAGCATCTATAAACATACCTTTGTGGGATTATTGCATATCATTTGATCTCAGCGATATCATCGGATATGTTTCGTTATCCAAACAAATGTGCAAATTAATGAATGTCTTCGATATCTTGCGGACTAATACTTTATGAGTCAGATCTAGGTTTGACAGCGCATCGATTTGCGATGCTAATACTACAAGGGCCCTGTTTGATGCCATGATGTAGGGTCTCCAGATGCCTGATACCAACTCTTCGAGACGTCTGCTTATTCCTGACTCAACTACGTGGGTATGCGGCGTGTGATGTCCTGGGTCTATCGGAACTGCCTGAATGGGTATGATCTTGTGGCTTCGATGTGTACCTGAAGTTGAAAATAACTTTGACTCTGAGGTGGTGGTGCCTCTCGAAAACAGGAGAAAGAGAGGGTGGATAGAGTTGGACTCCTGTCAAACTGCGCTGGGAATTTTTGAAACGTGTGCATCCGCGGTTGTCGGGTGAAAGAGGCTCGACCTTCCTGGTACACTATTGCCCGATGAATAACCGGAGAATATGTTTGCATATGCTAGGAAACAGAGCTCGGAGGTTTGATATGAGTACACCTTGATTATGACTCCACGAATGTTTGTCGTCTCTCTATGTGATCCATCATGCCTCAGGCTATTCCCGTCTGCATACTTGTGCACTCAAGCTTTCCGAATGCCTATAGCGTCTGTAAGCAATCTAGCAACCTATGTAGAGTTAAGCAACAGAATGAATTCTTTTCGGTTTATGGTAGATTTCTGCGCGTTTTTGAGCCAACCTATAGTATTCCTTACTCATACTATAATCAATCATTCTACAATCAGGCCATCTCCTATCACTAAATAAAATAGTTGATCTAGTTAACGGCCGCAACACAGCAAATAAAGGTATATTTATGACTCATATAAACCGAAGTCACCCATCTCTGTTATTACATCATTGATCTGCCGGTAAATGTTCGAACAAGCCCTACATAGAAAAGGTTTGAGAATAATAGCCTCAAGCCCAATCTCACTAAGCTATATCGCTTAATGACAAGCAATTGCTCGATAATCTCTCCACTTTTTAGGTGGGTGAAGCGGACCTGAAATTGCTATCATGAAATCAAGATATTTAGGGTAGCTTGTTTTAGATACGTTCACAAAGCCTAGGGAACTATTGTGGCGGGTTACATGGTTACACCTGCAGATACTCAGACATCTCATATATATGAGCTCGGACTCCCTGATGATTCTCTCGCTAGATAGAATGCCAACTAATGGTCTAGTCGGCCTACATGACTTGTTAGTATATTTGAACTGAAATTTTCTTGAATGTGTAGTCTTGTCATTGAATTTCATAGAAGCATAATCTATCTATATATATCACTGCAAGTACTAAAACGAGAGCGTTCTTCAAATACCCATCAGAGGAAAATGCAACCGGCTTCAAGTATTCTTCTAAACTGAACAACATCCTCCTAGTACGACGACTGCCCAGAGCAGGGGGTGTGTGTCATGGAAAGTACTGTTCAGTCTCAAGGCAGTCGACCCGTAGACAAGGAGATTCTAATTTCGTACATGTTATTGGTTGGTCCCCTGAAGAATGGAGACCCACAGCTATCTATTTGCTCAGGATTCGTCATGAACTTTTTTGGTGTCGCTGTTTGATGATTTAGATATGATAATCTCGTAGGGGATACTTTTCAACCCACTTTCAATACAGAAATGCCTTCATCGATGTTGGTGTATGATCTTGTCTTAATAGCACAAGCTAGGCCAAACACCAGGTATAGATTTGGGAGATATATAGTCGACAAAACACCCCAATAAAACGCCTCAGTATCGTAGCTCATACTATACAATAATATACAAGTCCCAACATCCCCGACTCAAATTTACTCAACCAACCTCCGAAACAACTCCCTTCTTCCCCAACCGATCCACAACCCCCTTCTTCAACCGTAGGAGCCTCTCAATCTCCCCCGACGGCATACCCTGTCGATCCCGCATCGAGAGAGCCTGTCGAATCGTCAACGCATCTAGATACTCCCGTCCCGTAAAACCCGGTCGTCCGACCAATTCCACCTCTCGTTCTGCCGCCTTAGCAATCTTCTGGCGCGCGGTGACCACCAGTAACGCCGGGTTCGCCGCCCGGGGAAAGACGGTTTGTACGGAGTCCCCGCGTTGGGCTCCGGAGGCAAATGTGCTGGAATTGGATAGGGTCGGGGCTGGGCTAACGGGGCCGATTCCGCGGAGGGTGGCGGCGAAATCGGGATCTCGGCCATCGAGGTCGATTGCTAGTTTTTTTTTTTTGTTAGTCTGTGTTGGGGTTGTTTCCTTGGGGGGAAGAAGAAAGAGCGGGTGGAGGGGAAAGGTCCTTGTTCTTCCCCGCGAAGGGATAATGAACGTACCGTTTGATTTCGTAAGAGAAGGCTGTTCTTTGGAATGATATGTCGGGCCCGTGGGAGCGCGGGTCTTTGTTTCTGGTTCCTTTGCCGGACGGGGTGCTGAAGCAGGGCCGGGAGACGGAGGCTTTGATGGTGTTGATGGCAAAGTGGACGGTTGTTTAGGGTATTGGCGCCGTGAGACTGCCTGCGCAGCAGCTCTCACAGGTTTGGAAGATGATGAACCCATGGATGAACCCCGAATGCCGCAATGGCTAGCGCGTGCGGGGTGGGAATCGACAATGTCGATGTTTGAGGCGTGGAGAAACCGGAGAGAGCGTTTGGCGATGTTTGAATTGAATGAAACTTCAACTAGCCGAAATTGGTCAATGCCTCGGGTGACGTCAGCCAAATCCATACGACAAACAATTATTTGTGTACTAGAATTTTACGAGTTTCAATGGGTGTGTTTTTTAACTGTGGTTTGGATTGATTCTCTCGGAAATACAAAGTGCGTGTCTGTTCTATTGGCTTGCTTAGGAACTCTGCTACATATGCTGGAAACGGAGGCTGATACAGTAATCTAGAAAACAATACAGAAGACAGTATTCAGTCGCATCGAAGATTTTGCCAGTAAACCCAGTACCGGCCGGTTTTACCGAAGACCGTCAAGGCGTCTGCCTTGCACTTCACCCAAAGCGCGACTGCCACTGATGAATGCGACCGTGCCAGCCACGGCGACCGCAGGAAGGATCTGGAAGAGTGTCCAGGACTGGTAGTACAGGAAGAAGATGCCTTCGATCGAGAGAAGAGAGCCGAGGAAGACACCATGAGAAACGGGAGATGCCTTCAAAGCCTTAGGAAGGTGGCAAACGTTGGCGCCGAGGAATAGCCACTGGACAAGTTAGACTAGCAATGGCAGAAGAAGAGTAATTGGACACTTACCACACCCGCAAGAACGGGAAGAGTGCCAAGCACCATCGCCACAAACGCAAGAGTGATGACAATCGGCGGGCTTCGGGGATCTTCCTTGAAGATGTGGTGGATCTCAGGAAGCTTTCCGTATCTTGAGACCTCAACAGTTGGGACTGGCTGATCGGGGTTCCGGGTAACGGCCAACTTGAACGCAGCGCCATTGTAGGCCTCCGCGCTGCCAAAAGACCCGATCAAGAGCTTTGCATCAAGCGGCTCAGCCAAGGAGAGGAATTGAACAGGAAGGTCCATTTGAGTCTAAAGCCAGCATTAGCCATGCCAAACAACAATTGTCCCTTTCGCACGTACCAGCTCAACCCTCGATTTGCCATTCTCCTTCACATTAAAGGGATAAGAGATGTCGAGTCCAGTCTCCGGGTCTTGGAGGAGGAGGAAAACCTGGTGCGCGCGTCTTCCGGAGCTGCCTTCGCGGGCTGTGAGAGTCACCTTCAAGGTGTCGGCACTTCCGAGGGAGACGGGCTTGGTGAGGGCCTTGTTGTCAGGAATACTGTCAATTCGGTCGATGTTAGCCAATTTCACTAAGGAAAGCCAAGCTCTATAGTAGTAAACAGATCACGCACTTTTCCTTCAATCCAGAACCGACTCCAGCTCCCTTGGTTTGAACTGACACGGTGGCATCAGTAAACCCCCACGCAGATGCCGCTGCGGTCGGGGCGGCAGTAAAAGCCAGCAAACCGAGCTGGAGGACAGTATTCCACAACTGCATCCTGGTTGGGAGATAGACGCTTGAAACAAACCGAGCTGGACGGAGTGGAACAATTGCGACGTAGGTGTCCTGAATACGTCGGTCTGCGGACGCAAGCTGAAGAAACGCTAAGATAAGCGCCCGCGGCTTTGGGGCAAGCTACGGTCCAGTGACCGACCCTCCGCCTTTGCAAGCCCTAATTTCCCGGAGTCTTCAAGTCGGCCTGCCAAACAATTCTTCCTCGCTTTACGATCGGCTTGATGGCTTCGTCAACTACTGCGACAACCCGCTAAATCGTCAAACATCCCGATAGTCGCTCCTTTACCCTCGCATAATGTTTTATTTTGCGTTTATCTAGCACCAGGAGCGCCCCTGCGACTGCAGTACGCCTTACGTTAGAACTCCTTCGCCTCCGCTACACCGACGGTCCACCCTGTGATTAACCCTCGCACGCCGTCTTGGAAGTCGTTCTGGTCGCAATCGCTGTCTTGTCCCCCGCTCATTGGTACGTCAGGAGATGTTGTATATCTTTTATACACCCGTATCCTGGATTTGATGGTGTTCTGGTGTTTCCAGGAGTTTCCGCTCCTGCCTGGGCCCAGTTTGGAACCAGCTGTTCAGTTTGGCACAGTTCACTGACTTCACCTTGCAACACAGGAATAGACAGAATACCTTGTACAGCGAAAACAAGCTAGTCGAGAAAGCGATCCAAAAAGAACCAACGATACCCCGCTGATCCTCGTGAACCGGTAACCCTCGCATTCCGAAGTGCCGATGGTCGAACTTTGCTAGGAACCGGTGGGCCGATTGTTTATTGAGGAAACCTGAGGAATAAAGGAAACTGTTTGTAAGGGCAAAAAGTGAGACAACTGTTTGAGACTGCTGTTGTTCGTCTTGTTTGCTTAGGGCTCAGTGCACAGTCAACCCTAGGCGGGGGGTGGTCATATAATTCACTCATCCGTATCGAATGCTAACAACAACAAAAGTGGCTGGTAGATCTTCTGTTACTCGGGGAGAGGCCTCTCCTGCGCCTTCGATCCTGGATTCGGCTTCTGTAAGTGTTTCTCTACCTCTCTTTGTCTGCATTATCTCTGACCAACCATAAAGAGAAACTCCCGACGAAGCTCTTCTCGCGCTTCGAGAAAAGCAACCCGAGAGCTTGAGCTCAACACTTCTCATCCATCTCGTTTGGCAGTGTCGCTACCTCCAACTCCCATCACTTCCTCTTTTGAAGAAGCGTTGTCGTCAACACAGCGCGCTAAGAGACACCGCTCTGTCAACTACTACGAAAAGACGCCACAGTCTAAAGGAGCCGAGACTCCGGGCCAGAAGAACGCATCGTTCTCAGCTCAGCCATCTGGCAGCGCCTCTAGAAGGAGTAGTCGTAGTCGCAAGTCCGAGAACGCTGACAAAGACTCAGTCAAGGCGCGTGATTCCACGGGTGATCAAGCTGTCACTCCTACCTCTACCTCTAACCCCAAACGCAAATCTCAAACTGAGCAATCTACCCTGCACACATATTTGCAGAAGAAGCCTCAAGAAAGACGAAAGACCTTGACTACACAAGCTGAGGCATCTGAGAATAACAGCCCTAAATCTGAGCCCAAACACGACGACAAATCTCCAGCTATGGGTGCCGCAGTATCTAGCGGCCGCAAGACTAGGAAGTCTATCCCAGCTAAACTGAATGGCACCGAGAGCACTGAAAAAGCTACTCCCAAATCTAAACTGGTCACTCGTCTCTCCACTCCAGTCTCTCGCAAAGACCGCAAGTCTAAGGGTGTTGTCGAAGCTGAGCAAGTACCCAAGTCAACCCCTCGTGTGAAGCCCGAATCGACCCCTGCTGTGAATCCAACGTCCAAAGCAGCCAAATCCCAGGCCAATGGAACGGCCGACCCAGTTACTCCAGCTGAGCGGACTCCTGTCTCAACCCCGAACGCCACAGTAACTAGATCCCGTCGTAGAGACCGCAATTCTGCCAGGAAATCCACGGCAGGTCGCTCGCAACTAGCGAATGAATCTTCCCAAGCAGATACTGCAACCAATACTGATGCCGAAGACCGCAAACCAGTCATTCAGGACTCCGACAAACCTGCTCCCCAGGACTCGGATAAGGGAAGCTCGGAGCCTCAGCAAGCGACCAAGAGACCGAGCAATACAGTAACCTTGAGTCTGGGCCGCAAGTCTCTCGAGTCTTTTGTTCAGAAAACGCTTGAGCCCACGTCCTATGGCAATGAAATCGCTGATAGCGTTGAAGGAACTCCCGTCGGTGTGTACGATGACTCTTATCATTTTGATTATGATGCAGATATGTATCGCAACAATTTCGGCCTTGATGGCCAAATGGACACACCAGCCTCGCCTACAAGCTTCTCCACAACTACCTCTACCGGCGCTCGGATGTCCGGCCGGACCCGAAAGCCCACTATCAGGGCATTAGAGTCCCTCGAGTCAGAGCGGCGTTTCCGCCGACCCCGGGCCCAAACGCCTGGAAAGGCGGAATCGTCTGCGGCTGGGAAACAGAGCGACAAGGCGCCCAGCGGAGAAAAGAATGCTGAGCAACCGAGGACAGCGCCAGGAGAAACTACGCAGCCAGATGTGGATGCCTTTGCTCGCCGGATATTTGAATTGGCCGCGGCAGCCGTTTCAGACGACTTTGTGCCGGCGCCTGAAGCCGACTCCTGGTTCGAAGAGCTGCGAAAAGAGTACCAGGGCAAAGGGGATGCGAAGATTACCGCAGTTGCGGCGGTGGTTGAGGGAGAGAGTAGGCAACCCTCGGATGACGAACCTACTACAGAACAGTGGACTGACGAGGACGGTTGGACGCACACAGGTCAAATTAACGAGTTTGGAGAGGAGTACGTCGTTGTTGGCCCTGATTTTGAGTGGTACAGGCCCAACAACACGTATGGGGACAAGCAACTTCCCGAGCCCCCTGTGCGCCTAAGGTCCCTGGAACAGTCCGAGAAGGACCGTATCTTTGGCTTTCCACCACGTATTGGAGAGCGTAACCTGCCTCGTGCAACCAATTTTCCGTTCATGATGGAGGATGTTTATCACGAACGGGCTAAGATTAAGGCCCGCGAGGAAGCGCGGCAGAAGGGCATCGCCATTGACAGGTCGATGTCAGTCTCTCAGATTGAGGCACTGATCGGCCGGCACAGCAAGAGCGGCAGCTCGCAATCGTCTGAGACTCCCGCTCCGGCCCCGGCTTCTACAAAGAGCTCGAAACAGGACAGGCCCGCTGGGTCCCGGAAACGACGACGTACGGAGCCCGTTATCCCAAGCGAGGCACCCTCGACCAACGAATCGACCACAGAGGGTACACATAAGCCAAAGAGAAGACGCAAGAACACGGTAGGAGCATCGGCACCGACCCCAACTGAACCTGAGCCTTCATCCGAAAAGCCCAAGACCCTCAAACTCAAACTGATCTTCTCGAAACGTGAATTACCGGCAACTCCTTCTGCTTCCAACACGACTAACACATCTGCCAAGCCGAAGAAGCGCCCTCATTCTGAAATCGAGACGGACGGTGACAAAGCCGTCGGCAACGGACTTTCGAAGAGCCCTAAAACCGCTCCATCCAATCCCACAACTACCCCCAGACGCCTCCTCAAGCTCTCGACCCCGAAGCAGGGACAGAAGGAGAAGAGCAATGTTGTTCCCGCTACCTCTACCCCTGAAGTTCCTCCTTCCGCTGATCAGAACTCGCTTACAACCCCCGGTGGACGTCCTCGTCGCCGCGCCGCTGCAGCATTAATGGCCGAATTTCAGAACCACAAAGAAGAACGGGCTCGCAGAGCCAATGCGCGCAAGAAAACCAACACCGATAATCCCGATGAGCCCAATTCCGGTCAGACCCCTGGTTCTTCCGCGAAGCAGCACTAGTGGTTCACCACTCTTACCTCTCTACCTTCTACCTCTACCCTTTGAATACGATAATTCCATCCAACGTTTCTTTTCCTTCATACGTCTTAGCCCCTTTCTAAATTCCACTTTAATCCTTTATTCACGTGACCACAAGTCACACCCTGATTCATTAGACATTTGAACTATCACGGCGTTATGAACGGTCATCGGAACTAAGCATAGCGGAAACTTTTTTCAAAGGATATGGCAGGCAATTGCACTGGTGTTTTTTTTTTTCTTTTTCTTAGCTCATGTTTATTTCTGTTTCTTTTTATTTACATTACGTGGGAGGCTCTCGTGAATTGTTCTCTTGTAGCTGTTATTTGTGTTCTTCTACTCCCACTCGTGTATTGTCCTCCGTCCTGTTTGTTCACCAAGGTATATGACCAAAGTGACTGGAATAAGACACAGGACAAGAGAAGAGAAAAACGGGACTGTATTATTGTTTTCTTCCTGTACAGTGACTCTTGCATTTTTTTTTTTTTTTTTTTTTTTTTTTTTTTTTTTTTTTTTTTTTTTTTTACTTTATATTTTGTTTTTGTTAATGTACGCGCATGCGCATAGCAAATCCGACCAGAGGAAAAAGGCCAGGATTAGAAGCAATTAGTTTACTTGCGGGGTTTAATCATTCTGTGTTGGAAGCATGTATTCTTGCATAGGATTTATTACAATCAAGAATGGGATGAATTCAACTGAACTTGACTTGATCTTTCCATAACAATCTATACTATGCATACCCAAGAAAAAGTTGATGGGGAGCATCATTTTGGCCTGAGGCACCAACCCGAGAAAGGGAAAAACGCAAATAAACTACGCCCGACTTTTTCCGCCTCAAACCATCTCATTCAATCAATCCACATCACTTCGAATAAGTACTTTAACATACCATCCCGAACCCAATCCTGATCTTACACAGACAGAGAAAGAGGGGGGGAAATAAGAAGAACAAAAAATGTCCAACCAACAACAACCCCGCGTAATTGTCAACCCGCAATCCCTTCAACGACCACCTCATCCACCCCGGCGCGGACCCCAAGGTCCACAAGCTGTCCGGGATATTCGGCAAACGAAGGAATATAAAATTGCTGCTAGACGGTATGCTTATTTTATTTTATTTTTACTCTTATTTATTTGTATATCCCAAGATGAAAGATAGGGTTTGAGAGAGTTTATGGACCCTCAATCGAACATCAATTATGCTTGCTCCTTGTTGAATTTCAAGATCAGGATCCAGCTGCTAATATTGATGTGATATATAGATGGCTTTCCACTATCGTGGCGTTGCCGATTGCATTGTATACGTCTTATGTGCTTTATGAAAGGAGTGAGTTTCTTTCTTTTCTCTTGTTCTTGTGCTGGAGGTTACTACTGGGGTAAGACAGAGAGCTGATTTGGTTGTTTAGCTTATTTGAATAAGAGCCAGAAGCATTTGGGTCGGCCCTCGGGGTCTGGGCCGGGGGAGGGAGGGAAGGATGGGAGTGCTTGATTTAGTAGGGATGTCTTTTTTCTTGTCTGGGTTAATTGTATATTAGTTTGTGGACTTGGGGTTTGTTCTGAAGTGCTTTTCTTTTTGGTTGGGATGTGCTTTTGTTGTAGAGTTAGGTTGTATTTGTATGGAGCTGGTTCTGTGGGAGGATGATGCAAGATGGATGCTGATTTAAGATATTTCTGTTTGGGATGGTGCTGGTTGAGATGTTCTGAAGGATTCTGGGGTCTCGGTATGAGGTATCTGGGATCAGTACTTGTAAGATCTCGTGGATGGATATGCAATTGTAATTTGTTTCTATTGGGTGGATATCGCTGCTCTTTGTGTACATGTCTGTGTGTATTAAAGTCAAGTTGTATGAATGAGGAAGGGCTTGAAAGAAAGGCCGAAAGAGTAAAGAGAAGCATAGAAGAATAGATATATTTGTCAGGGACAACATTGATAAACACCCTTCAGCTTAAGCAAGGCACTCTCCCCAGTTTCCACCGGATGTAACGAAGCTCAGTCCCTTGATGAAATCGTCCCGTTTGCACCGACCATGCTTGTCGGCATCACAGCCCTGCAGCGGGATGACTCGGTCGTTGACCAGGACGCGGACGAGAGGCTCCTTCTCATCCTTGCACTGCATCATCTCGACGTAGGCCCTGGCTGCGAAAGGGACGGTCCAGGCGGATGAATATCCATTCGTCTCCTCAGTCGACTGCACCGAGGTCTGGGAGAGGGGCTCGGTCGTGTTATACAGACCAAGCGCGAAGAAAACGGAGGTCATCGTGTTATCGTGCGAGAAGTCCGCATAGAGCGTAGCATTCAGCGGGAAGGTGGCGGGGTTCGAGTCCAGCGTGGTGTTGGTGCTGGTGTGGTCCTTAACCGGGGATTGGGTCAGACGAGCGATCAGCTCGTTAGCGAAGCCGATGCCCTGCGCAGGTCCAAGAGGGTTGCCTGCACCGTAGCCGTAGTATTTCTTGACCGACTGCAGGTAGTCGTATTGCACCCATTCTTCCTGGGTGAACAAAGCGCAGAAGGGGGAAATCCGACTGCCGTCGCGGGTCAAGGCGACGGTGTCGTATGAGCACATGTCCATAAGATAAACCACCTCTTTGCTGGAGAGCTTGGCTCCTGGGAGATCCTTCTCCAAACGTTCAACAATGGAGGGCGTAAAAACAGCGGTGAACTTGTCCTCGGCGTCATCCCCTACCTTGCTGTTCTCGAAGGTCGTGCAGACACTGTGGTCCAACGTGTTGTTGAATCCCTCGGTCTCAGGAATAATCACGTTGACAGTAGGAGCGGGCTGATCGCGCTTGGTCTTGGAGTTACCGAGCTTCGCCTTCTGGAAGCCCTGGATGAATTTCTCACCGGATGCGATTACCCGATCCGAGCCCGATGCCCGAATGAAAGGAACGACGCTCTGGGCGAGCTCCTCATAGCGCTGATAGAACTTGATTCCCGAATCCACCATTTGGTTCTCTCCAAAAGCAGTAAGGTCATCGGCGCCGAGGGAGTAGTTGTACGATTTCAGGAAGGCATACTTCCCGGAGAACGAGGTAGCATTATGCTGGATGGCCTTGATGAGCTTGGCGTACTTCTCGGACTTGCTCTCCGTTGGATACCGTGCGCCGTGACGGGAGAGCACTTGGGCGAAGGTAACCTGACAGTGGTCCGGAACGTCCTCGGAGAGCGAAGACTCGTCGTCGACCGAGAAGTAAGGGGAATACTGGCCCCACAGGTGAGAGACCCCCGAGAAGCACTGGTACCCTTCGTCAACAGTATTGCACGACTGTTGTCTCGGGCTGGTCACCGGAGTACCGGCAACACTGAATGAAGATCAGCCGCCGTTAGATTACGGCATCCACTATAGGGTAGTGTCTATGGGTGAGCTTACCTCGAGAGAAGGAAGGTAATGGGAAGGAGTACGCTAAGGACAGCCATGACGCTCACGATTGCAACCCTTTTGCTATTAGACAACCGACAGGGCAAGCCCTCCACGCGGACGGGAAGGTCCTCATATAAGCCCTTCATTTCCGTCTCATGTTGATCAAAATCGGAGACCTTGTAACCCTAGTGCAGCTTCGGATCCCGCGATATCGGACGGAGATTCAGCCGTGATGTTAGTGAAGCGGTAGTGTAGTGGGGGTTACAAGAGGATAAGCCTGCAGCATAAGACGATCATCCATGGTTCCTTAGGTACTCGTAGTAGAAAGTGCTGACGGTGAGGATGACCTGAGTTGTCTGTGTGATGCTGATAGGTTGTGTTGGGCCCACGTGGGCGCGGGAATGGTGAACAAGTGTGCCTGAGGGCAAGTTCCATAATCCTAGACATTCCTTCGGAATCCGGTCGGACTTCTGTTCAATTGAAGTTAAGATCTGAGGTTCAAGCATGATTAATTAGTACAGGGCTACTTACGTTCGCAATGATCCACTCCTTACGAGCGGCCGTTGTTTTAGCGGGTTTGATATTGATCAGGCACGGGTTATCAATCTGTCAACTACAGCCAATACTTTTCCCACGCTTTGTGTGAATATCCTTGCTCAAGATGATTGTTTATTTATTATACTTTTTTTTTCATTCATTTTCTTTCTTCTTCTCTTCTAGTCTCGGGACAAACCCGTATATTCTCAGTCAACGATGTGGAAACCTCACGGAGAGCTCAAGATTCACATGGCCACAAAACCAGTCAAGGAAGACTGAGATTCTCCGAAAAACGCACCAGTCAATATGTCAATATGTCAATGCTTCACTAAATCAATCTAATGACCTAATAAAATCTCGTTGTGGTGCTGGGGGCCACATCTGATAATCTCTACCCGTGCTTCCCATTTGATAACGATCGTCGTCGGATGTCGCCGAGCCCGGCGGCGATCCACAACGGCCGTTGACCCTGTTTTTTTTTTTTTTTTTTTTTTTTCGTGCTTTCGCTCTTTTCTCCCGTTTTGCTTCAAGTCTTGAAATATTCTCATTTTTTTTTGGGGGGGTTTCTTGTTCTTGTTCTTGGGCAATGATATTGTACAGGTCTATGGTAGATACCACAAATCCCAAGTTTGAGTAACCAAGTCATTGAAACAGTAATTGGGGAGATCGCTCTCAGTTGCACTCTCAAATCCAAATCAGAGCCGTGGTGGTATCTTTCGTCTAACGGGGTCCACGGTCACAATCAAACCAGAACAAATCCAACAACACCGAACAGCCCAAGATCAAGGGAACACGCCTCGCAGTTGACACTTTTCCAAGTGTCATGTAAAAACAATCCAGCGATGCGAATTAAATCGACGTCAATGCAAAGCAAGCAGACACCCTCCTTTCCAACACTCTCAACCAAATAGACCAGGGTGAAACAAACTATAAGCAAGAAAGTGAAAACATTGACAGCTGAAGCAAACAAAATATATGCAGGAATGTCAGGAACCCAGTTCACACTAATCGATATGAGAGCCATCTGCTTTTCGCCGTTCGCATAATCCAAAATCTCCATGCTGATCGCACAAATGAACACAATTTCCTCCAATGCAATAAGATCCTCGCCTCAGGCGAGATGTATGAAATATAGTCAGGTAATTATCTCCGCGGATCTCCTTGGATGTCAAAATGGACAGCCGACGATCCGCGGGAGAGAAAGAATGTTAGAGAGGGAAGGCGTGCACCTTTCAAAAGTCGCACGGAGCTTTCCTCCAAAGAAACAGAGGGGAAGCAGAGCATAAGCCGGGACATGTGAGCCCAATATCTTGCTTCCATAATCAAGCGCGGGTCCATGGCCCCGGGAACTGTGGCAGTGATCTTGCCTGCTGTTCATCTGCCAGAGTCCCTCGACTTGGCCAGCTACCAGCTGCTCGGGTAGCTGAGGCGGGCGGTGGCACTCCGCTCGTATCCACAGTTCGCTGTGTGGTGTCTGTACTAGGCCAGACCTGAGGGTCACGATCCGAGGATTGAAAGGAACGTGGAGAGACTGGCCGGGCCGGGATTTGCCCGGAAGGCCCGAGACGGCTGACGTGCTCGCGGTAGAAGTCCCTCTCGGAGCGGTAAAAGTCTCGCTCTTGCATCAAGGCCCGAATCTCTTGGGCCTGCCTCTGCAGCACTTCCGTTTGCTTCCGGATCTCATCCTGCTGGGCAGTGATCTTCTGCTCCATTTGTAGCTCGTTTCGTTTCCTGTTGCGGAACCTCCTCGACGCATCACTATTTGCCTTTCGCTTCTCGGCCTGGCTAGAGGAGCCAGACTTTAGGTCTAGGATACAGGGGATCATCCCGGGGTAAGGGGGATTTTCCGCCTGGGAACTAGGCAGGACGACAGGCTCCTCACTCACATGCTTGTGGCCTGCAACTACTGAAGGCAGTCGGCTGACTGGCTCCATTGTGGTATGCGGTGTAGAATGCAAATATGATGGTGCAGGCTGTGGGCCAGAAGCAGTAGTAGCCGCAGGAGATGACCGGCCGAACTGACTAAAGGTCGAGATGGGTGTCGTCGGGCTCGTCTCCTGAGGGCTCGGGTTTGGTGTTGGATTAGCACTTGTCCGGCGGCTATGGAAGGTTGGTGTGGAATGAACGGACACTGGAACAGGCTGTTGATATCCTGACACGGACATCGGCTGTCCAGCTACCGAATCCACAGGCAAGGGTGAACCAGGTGTCACGGTATATGCTCCCGGCCGTGTTTCCTGAACTAGCGGAGACTGGGAAGCACTCGCTTTTCGTGGATAACCGACTCCAGAGCTGACAAAGCGAGCTGATGGAGAAACGGGAGAGATGATCTGGCGGCTCCGTACTCCTGGAGATGCCGATAAGCGCTTTGCGTGTGTTGATGGAGATGGGAGATGTACTGTCGCGGGAGGGAGATGTTGATGAGACGGGGAGGTTGAGAACTGGTCTCCTAGCCCTTCCCGGCCAGTTTCCGCCGTGGAAGCAGATACTGATGGTGCTCTCGCCGGGGGGTTCAAGATAGAGTCGACTCCAATGGGACGAAGCTGGGTAGAACTCAGCGGGGGCTCCACAGGGGTTGAGGGATGCCACGAAACAGGCCGCGGACGCCCCGGCTCGCGGCCGTTCCAAGACGAATCCTCGTCTACAAAAGGGCGTTTCTTCTCCAGGGCACTGTGTTTCTCAGTTCGAAGGGCATCTTCTGATGAAGGGCCTGTCACTGGAGAAATCGGCGACATATGCTCCGAGTCTCTTTCGATGGACGGCCGCAAGAAGCTGGGGCATGGCGGGGGCCCCCCTCTCTCCAGGTGAGCCGAAGACTCGGGAAGGGCAGAGCGAGAGAGGCCACCAGTCGGTTGGGTGAGATGGTAACCAGACAGCGAATGATAGTGATGCGTGGAATGCCCCGGGTTGGTGTACGGGGTATTAGTCAACACACTGATCGCTAGGGTCGCCACGGTGAAAAGGGAGAAAATAAATCGGGAAGGTTAAAACTGGATAAAGACGGGCTCGAGGAAATTTCTCAAGCTTGCTTCCTCGGTCGAATAGAATCCCCTCCGGACTGGTAGTTCTTGGGTATTCGTATTGCAGCAACAACCACTGAAACGATTAATCACACCTGTATTTATATGCAGTATAGTAGTGATGCTCGTTGCAACGATATCAAGTCCGAAGGAAAGGAAGAGAGTAGAAGATATATAGAGTTAAATAAGAGAAAAAGAATAAGAAAAGAAATTACAATCAAAAGATAAAAGTAAAGCGAAGTTCTTAAAATACCTGTCAGAAGAGTTAAGTAAAGAGGTAAAGAAGTAGACCAGCAAAGGTGGGGATTTGAGGAATAGAAATAAAGATTTAGAGGACAAAGAAAGAAGGTAAGAGAGTCGAGACAGCGATGAGCAGAGGAGAAATGGATATTATTTCTAATTATTATTATTTTTTCTGAGGCCGGAGGGATTGCTTCATGTTCACGCTGCCGTTATGACAAGAGCAATTCGGCGGTGAGCAATGAAAAGGTGGTGAGTGGGACCAAGTGATGATGGGTTTGCGTTAAACCACAGGCATGGCATGGGGGAGTAACAAAAAAAAATATATTTAAAAATAAAAAAAGGAAATTTAAAAATTAGAAGAAATCTAAGAACAACTAAGACAAGGGACCCAGAAGAGCTCACAAACTGAGGATTGGGGAAAAAAAAAAAAAAAAAAAAAGGCAATTAGTTAGGTGCTGCTCTCTTGGAGTTGTTGTCTCATGCCCCATCCCAACAGCCTATTACCAGGCATACTGTATTGCTAACGTACATAAACTCCGTCCTTAAGGTACATACATACGTACAGGATACCTAACCTACTACCTAAAAGCCCCCCCCCAGGATCTTAATGCATGTGCGTGCATGGGCTTTTAGGCCCCTTCATACATGGATTAGGTACACAACCGGGTAGGATTACAGATAGTCATCTTGGCCATTACACACGCGGTACTGTACGGATCAAAACAACTAAAGGTACCGTACGTACGGAAGCAATCACGGACCAAAAGTACGACCACTGGACGGAACCGCTCTGATGGAGCCCGGGGAATCGGGAAACATTTAGTTGCGGTCCTCAAAGGAATTCCAGAATGCGTTAGTGGGCGATTCCTTGGGAGAAGGAATTAATTGTATGTATACTTAGTCACGAATAATTAATTTCTCTTTTAAATTCCTGGGCAATTGACTGATAATTCAAGAGAGTTACACTTGAAGTGGATCTTAACCTTATTAATATGAAAATGGGAGACTCCATTATCAAGTAGGGATTTGAGTTCGTCGTGAAAGGCTCATCACTGCACGTACAGAACGTACAGGCCGAGAAACCTTACCTGCAGGCCTATTATTTGGCAAAGGAGGGACCCTGAGGCGATGCTTGACAACAAGAGAGCTCGGCTAAAATTTGTACCCACCATAAGATGCACTAAGGAGTGGCTCTTGAGGCTGGGGAAGATGCAAGTGAATTAAGAAGCGCCGTCACCATGGTCATGGACAGGATCGGTGGAGGCGCGAAATTACCTAGTATCACACACTAACCGAATGGGTATCTCTTAGGGACCAGCAGGTATCCATAGCGCCTTTTCCTAGGGTCCGATGTAATAAATACTGTCTATACATACGTACGCACGGGTTGCTACTTACCGCCACGATGGGCATGGGAATATTCTTTTCTTTTTTCTTTTTTTTTTTTCTTTTCGTGCCTTTTCAGAAAAAAGAGAGAAAGTCCATATATGTATATACACATACACACATATATAATATATATATAAAAGTAAAGTGTAGCGAGGGTAACCAAAGAAATCAAATTAATCACTCTCTTACAAGTAATAACCTCAGGAGTTCAACCTCCAGCACCTATTTGAACCTTAAAAAAAAATGACGGTCTTACCAGTGTCTTGGAACGCTCTGCCACAGAGCTAATGTCTCACTGCTCTGTCACTTTCTCCAAAGATTCCCCGAAATCCACACAGCTCCGGCAGTTACCGTTCGCATTTGGCATTCGGCCTAGGGAGAAAGATAACCTCTCTTACAATTCTAAATTTCCTCAGTGCTTCTACTTTGCCTCGGGACCGGTTATATCAGGTAGTACTAATGACCCAGTCCTGTTAAGAGGAATGTCTGACGTGTGACTGACTCGTGTTGCTAGGTCAACTGATGATCAAGATGATTTCATAATACAAAGAATACCGGTTGCTTCCACCTCTGCCGCTAATAAGCTTCTAGTGACTGGCTGGCCGTCCATGGCTCTGGGCAGTCTCATCTGGCCTGTGCTTCTATCTGTCCACCCCAAACGATTAAGTTTTGACGCCGTGAGGCAACTCACTGAGAGTAAAGCAATCCAACAAAGGTCCCCGAAGAGCCTAGAGCCAAAAAATGGGGCGGAGACGATGGCCTCCCATTTTGGATCAACAACTAATTCGAATCACAATGTTGTGCATGCAGTGTGCTTCGCTTTGGTCCCAAACTTTGGCAAGCCGTGATTGATAGTCTAAGGTGCACTAATTGACTTTTAAGACCTCTGCTGATCGCCGTTGCCCTTCTCCTTATTGTCTGCCCCCACCTTCCCTCATCTCTTGGTCCTGACAGTTGCCCTCTCGCAGGTCATAGCTGGATCTTTTCCCTGGAAACAAAGCAGCAAGGCAGCTATGCCGCTAGAGACTTAGCAAAGCTCTTGTTTCCAGTTGTTCATCTCCAGCACAGAAAGTATTGGTCTCGGTGGTACACCGGCCCCTCGAATCAGATGAATCATCAACAGGGTGTGATTCTCATCGACTTCTCCTCTCTTGAGTGGCCCACGAGGGGATTCCGCTTGTCCATTCCGTCTTGGTGATGCATTGGAGTTGGGTTAGAGCGGAACCTGATATATGTGCCTCGGCTACGTCATTGGGCATCAATCACAATGTAGGCAGTTCAACAAGGTTCGCAAGGTGATACCTTGTCCAAATCCCACTCCTCTTTTCCGGCAACAAAAGGCTCGAGGAATCCAGAACAGATACGCGTCCCAACATACTGGTGCTCCGATTAAAGATGGTTAGTACGGACTGTTACGGCTACTTTGCCGTCCATACCAAGTTTTCTTACCTAGGGAAGGGCAAATCCTTCGCGTTGAACACCGAAGGGAATGAATCAATGTCGGCTTGTAAACGTAGCGATCTGCAGACTATACGACGTAGCCCGAAACTATGCATAATGAGCAGCAACTAAGCTCCTAGTCATACCACATCAAACACTCTGCCAGAAAAGTTTGGGGGCGGCATGCGTGTTGTCAAGTGAACAAGCTGATGCTGCATGTCTCATACAGCAACACTACATATAAAACACAGATTGACTCAAAGACAGTCTCGAGATCTCTTTGTCACAGGGAGCAACCCAACCGTATTGCCTCTCACCGCCAGTGGCTAGTGGCAGTCTTTTTTCACTACTGAATTCACCCCATCAGCTGTTGATACCGCCCCGTTCCGAAACAAGAAAGAAAGAGTAAAGGGAAAGGGGGGAAAAGCAGAGAGGGCTTGATAATCCGATGGTTTCGAGAGCAAGTGACAGTCCGATGAAGAAATCGAATGGTTCTATGCAGCTACAGGAGAAGCATACAGCATACAATAGGCAACTGGTTAAGCAAAAAAGGCAGACAATGGGTGGGGGGGATAATACTTCGAAAAGTAAATAAAAATAAGAATAAGAAAAACTTACAAGCAAAAGACTTCCGAAAGCGAACAATGTCGGTAAGGATCAGTGTGCTCCATTTTCTGCAGTCGACCAGCAAATCACCTGCAGTGAGTTTGGGAAATACTTTGGCGATCTGTATGATGGAGACACACCATTGGCGAAAAGTCAGAAATCGTAATTTTGAGCGCCACAGACTGTACTTAAGGGTTACGGAGTGTGGTTTCCTTCAGTTAGTGGCATAGTCTCAGTGGACTACCCACCTACAGCCACCTAAACGACCAACATCATACATTTCATTTTTCGCGTGCAAAGCGTTAGTGTTACAAGCTGCCGGCCTTCATTGGAGGCCGAAACCCCACGGAGAAAGGCGGTGTTCCTATGGACGACTTAGGGAATGATTAACGACACAAATAGCGGGTTCCCGAGCATCCTAAAGGGGAACTCAGTTTATTAGTGTCAGTAGATGAAATAGTTAACGGGCGATGGTAGATCGTGTGGGCCAGAGTGAGGATATGCGTGGTCTGGATTGACAGGTAACGCGGATGGGATTGTTGCGGGTCATGCTCTTTCCAGACCACATGGTCTGTCGTGCCATACACACGCTATCGTATCCTTTCATCGATAGGGAGATTGCTATATTAATTAGCGTAGATAGAAGATACACCGCACGGCAGATGCTTAGAGAAAGTTAGTAATATCATGCATACCAGCTTTTTGCCTTGATCTATTTTTTCTTCTATTCCCCCTCCCCCTTTTTTTTTTTTTTTTTTTTTTTTTTTTTTTTTTTTTTTTCCCTCTCTTTCCCACTATTGCGGGAAGTGGAGTCGATACTTGGGTCATCTTTTTCGTATCCGCCATCTGCAACAGAGAGAGAGCCCCGGAATTAGTTTCCGCCTGGTGCCGTGGCTTTTCTGGAAGTTGCTTATTTGGTCTAGTTATAGATTACTGAACCTTGGTCTGTCGGAAACAAAAACGGAACAATGAGAAGCGAAAGAGAACGAGGAATGGGGGGCGATGGAGACGGAGGTGGTGTGAGCACTGAGTCTGTGAGCGTACTCCGGAGTATACGTACGTTGCATGAATTAGCGCCAGTTCCACAGGATGTATCGGCGCCTTGTTGCTCAGGCGGCTTTCCCAAGAATGCGGTTCGCGGCCTTATCCGCTTAAACTGTAATCAGTCCGGAATCATATCAATTTATTTATTTATTTATTTTTTTACGACGGACAGACGGATCAGGGATGGGTTCTTTCATCTTTCTCGAAGTTCTTATCGTACAGTAGCATGCAAAGATCATCTAATTATTCCACTTCTGTCACCAATCCGGTTGCATTGACTTTATGTTATATCTTTATTATTGGCGCTTGATCACTTCGTTGCAGAGAGATTTTAGTCATAGATCTGTATTTTCTTTTTCTTTTTCATTTTCCCCTTTCCCCTTTTCTCCTCCTCTCTTTCCCCCCCCCCCCCCCCCCCCCCCCCCCCCCCCC